TTGCATATGAAATTTTTAGTTTTTTTTAGCAAATTATAGAATATTGCTATGAATTTCAATTTTGAATAGAGACCTGGCAAATTTCTGATTTCCAAAATGTATACAAACAATTAAATACTACTCTTAAAAAACCCGGATAATTTGGTATTACAATTAAATACAATAATCATTATTAGTCGAAGATGAAACGGTAGACAGTTATCAAATTAATCAGCTAAATGTTTGGGTTTGAGAGAAGGCCAATTGACGTGTCATAATTGGCTGTTACAATGAAAAAGGCAAGGGTTGTTAATTGGGAGAGGAGAATTAATGTAGTTATTGTTATTATTAGGTGTTTAATTAGATGGAGAAAATAATTAACTGATAGGAATAATATATAAAAAACATTAAAAATAAAATAAAATAGATAAATAGGTTTCTTGGCCTCAGAGAACGCCACGTCAACATATCTAATATCCAGCTTTATATATTACTCCTATATAGAAATGGGACTTAGATTGGACGAACACAGCATCCTATTATTGTACTTAAAGTAATGTAAATTGTACTATCACAACTCAAAGGAATTGTACGAAAAGCAATTTAAATGGTACGTTTTATGGGTACTTTCTCCTCTCCATGGAAACTCAAACACATGTCAACACCATTGTTAAACACGTGTACTAAGAAAATGCACAAAAATAGCTCGTCAAAGATTCATCAAATCATCAGAGATTTAGTCGAAGCGGCGAGTTCTCTCACTCCAAAAAAATCAATCGACTTGGTCTCTCTCCAAAGATAATCGGCGAAGACATTTCAAAGAAAACGGTAAAGAATTGGAAGGGTATCCAGGTCACCGTTCAAAACCATCTATTATTTATCTTCTTTCACTCATACTTTCATAGATTTTATTTGTTTCCTTCACTATGTTGACCTTTTTGAACTGTGAGTTCTTTGTTTTAGTGAATTTTTTTGTGATTTTTTGATTCATTACACTTCATTTGGTAGAATCCACATTTGTATTTTAAGTTGCGGCCTTTTTGTTTCACCCGAACTAGATATTATCAGTTTCAAGATAAATTTAAATTAAAAAATTTAAGTCTCACCTCTCTTTTTCTCGATTTTCACCTTTACTGAATGTACATCTGTTGGGAATTTCTTTTCCAAATTCGGTGATTTTTTTGCATGTTTCTGATGGTGATTTTCTTGCATGTTAAATTGAAGACACTGTGAATTTGTTATTACTGCAACTAATGTATGCTCTCATGCATGATGATGCTCAGAATTATTATTTTTTGATATGGTAAATCGCGTTGTTCCAATTTCCCACCACATCTATCAAGTATTCTTTTTTACTTGCAAATAATCCTTTTTGCTTCCATAAACCTAATAAAAAAAATTTGCTTTAATTTACAATGAATTTCATGTTTTATTGTTAAATTTAGTTAGTTTATTCTATTGGTTTATGTGAAATACGTTCGATTGCAGCTGCTATTTATACATTTTCTGGGAAGTATTAATTTCAATTGTGTTGATTAGAATTTTATTCAATAAAATCAAGTATGTTGTTTAGACCCCAATTTTGGAATTGCACTCGGTATGTTGTTGTTGATTTAATGTTGGTTGTCTACCTACTCCAACACTCCTTTTATAGCGGGCTTCAGAACTGGTTATGCTTTGGTCAGCTTGCTTAGCCAAAGTTAAATTGGGATTTTGTTAGATTTGACAATTTTTGTTTGATTATTTAAATGCATTTCAGTAATTTTATGGTGGACAACTAAATGGCTCTGCAGACTATCTGTTGTAAGTGAAGTTAAGCAGATTAATTAGTATTTTTTTCCCTTTCTGAATGGATATTGCAATTATCTTGAAAAGTAGCAGTATGGGCTTACTAAATATGTCTAGCAGAAATGTGGGTTATTGTTAGATTTTAAGTACTCATGCCAATTTAGTTCTGATATTAAAACATGAAAGGGTTGGAAAGGGAAGAGTGGTAAGGCTAATATACCTTTGTTATGCTTCCCAGGGCTTAACTCTATTGGCAAAGGTTAAGGGACTTGTGACTTAATTAGGCCACCGGTTAAAGCTCTCTGGCAAGTGAATTAAGCTTTTTATTTAAGTGGAGAAGGATAGAGACAGACCCATTATCCTTGAGTTATGAATGATGAAATTAGGCCTAATAGTTTGCTCTGGACTTATTTCTATGTTAGTTCCTCTTTTAGTATTCGTTGATTTGTCTATTCTTTGGGTTGTTTTTCCTGGGTTTACGATTATTTTGTGCGCATACAAATTGTGAGTTGCTCATACATCCTTGAGGATACAATGGTGCAATTTATTTTTGGCTGATATTGAAGTGGTCTACCATTAATTTTTGAATGATAGTAATTGAAGTAGTGCAACACCACTGATAGAAATGAACAAATTTGTAGTTTCTGGCAAACCGTAGCTTCCATTGACTATATTAAAATTAAAATCCTCAATTTAAAAAATAATGCAAGTAGAATCCGATTTTCTTAACTACTGCGGTGTTAATATGCCAAGGGTAGTCACATGTTGAGTATATTTCAGATCAGTGAAATGTTAATATTTGTAGATTACTAAACATCTATCAAGATGAAATAGTGGTATATTCATGTGTGAACTTTCATCCTGCAATCTATAGTTTTGATTTTAAATTTAGTAATCTTCTGTAAAAACTGCAAGTCTGCTTAATTATGTTTTTTGACATGATTTTGGTTGCTTATATAAAAATTCTCTTTGTGTCTGCCTCTTGGTATTAAGTTTCTCTGTTTTCTTCCTTTCAACAAATTCCTTTATGATTTGTAATTATTTTCCACAAAAAAAATATCGTATATACAGTCCATGAGAGATATATATCCTTTTTTCTCAGAGTCTTGCTCTTTTCTCAAGGATCCAGTTCTGTTGAAAATATTACTATTTATAAATATGCATGCTCATAAATTCACTTTGAAATTTCTTTTTCTTCCGTAGGATTCATCAGTATTGACACAACTAAGGTGGTAGAATAGACAGAATTTACTGTTTGGAGGTTACTTGGACCCGCCTTGATCTTTACAAGTAAAAAATGATGTTGTTTTCCTGAATTTTATTTTGCTTATTGCTCTGAGCTCACTTGATATCTTTGTTTGCTTACAACTTTATTTGTTTACTATCAAATATAATAAAGCTTTGGCATTTTCTCTTTCCATCTGATAACAAACGGGAATGCATGACTGGAGTTATGCGTGCAACAAATGGAAGGGCAATGGAATCGGGATGGTACCTCTATGCCTAGGACACCAGAATATCGAACTCATTTGTTAGTGAGACGTTTGAAGTATATATTTGTACATTCGACTTTTGCCCAAAAGTATATTATATGTTATAAATATTTTGTTTGTTATAATTGAAGACTTGGTTATAGCACCTGTTGTTTGTAAACAACTCTATTTGCTTTTGTGTATTATGTCTTCATCAAAAAGAGAAATTTCCCAGATATTTATAAGGAAGAAAGACCATGTATATCTTATTTTTCATTGCTTAAACATAATATTCTTACTATACTCTGTTTCTACGAATATCACAACTAATTGGCTATAATCACTTCACATGGATTAAAGATTTCACTGTGCAGTAGACCATACACAAAATATATTTTGCATATCAAAAAGCGTAAAATTACTTTTATGCGTAGATTGATTTTGTTGGGCCCGTGCTCAGCACAAACATTCCCATCTAGTATATATATATGTGGTGGTAAAGAAGTATGTGAATGATAGACAATTATTATTACTTATGAATGAAATTAAAATAAATCTTAAATCTTTCAAGTGATCTATTCAAATTATATATTTTTAAAATCTAAAATAAGTTGCACATATAAAATTAACTTAAATAATAAATTTATATTCCTCTTATAAATAATTAATGATGATAAAGAAATGTGTGAATGATAGACAATTATTATTACTTATGAATGTAACTAAAATAAATCTTAAATCTTTCCTTTGATTTATTCAAATTATATATTTTAAAAATCTACAATAAGTAGCGCATATAAAATTAACTAAAATAATAAATTTATATTCCTCTTATAAATAATTTATGATGGCAAAGAAATATGTGAATGATAGGAAAATATTACTCCCTCTGTCCCAATTTATATGACACATTTCAAATTTCGAGATTCAAACAAGTTTATCTTTGACCGTAATTTTTTCATATATCTTTTTAATATTTTCAATTATCAATTATTGAGACTTATAGTATTTTTAATGTAGTTTACAAATATATAAATTTCATTTTAAAAAAATTGAAGATTCCATGAGCAAATTCTCGGTCAAACTTAAACTGTTTGACTCTCGAAAAATAAAATGTATCACATAAATTGGGACAGAGGGAGTATTACTTATGGATGTAAAATATAAATTAATTTTATTTTAATTTTATTTTAAGTATAAAAACCTTAAAATAACCAACTTTTTATCCTGTTAACAATTTTAAGGGTATTTCAGACATTTTGATAAAAAAAAGTGTTTATCAGCATTTATTTGCCAAGTACATCAACAATATTTTTTTCAACTGCAACACTTTTATTCGAACACATAACTACTTATTTTAAAAATAAGTTTTAACACTTTAAAAGATTGTTTTTGAAAAGTTATTTTTTTTTTTTAAGTAAATCCAAACGAGCTCGTGTCATTCTGCCATTCTAAATGAAATGAAACTAAAAATTAAGCCGTTATGCTATCCACTTACCCCTTCCAATTTTATTTTCCAGGCAACGCTACCGCTCGTTCTTGGCCGAATTCTTGGTTGGCTACTTGCAGTGATGATGACAGGTTAAGGATTACAATTGCTAAAAAAAACAAGTAAATTTTAGCGCATCGATGGATGACAGTGTCATCTACTTCCTGGCGATAGTGGTAACAATTTGCCAGAAATATTATTTCTAAAATTTTCTACTGACTTTCTGCTTGCATATTATTTGAATTAGCAGTGCCCACGAAAATCTGTGGAAGAAACCCACTATTGTTGCAGTGTTCTTGAATTAATATCTGATTTTGGACATGGGTTTTGTGGCATCTGATGTCTTGTGTTGTTCCACTCAAACATCTATACTAAGCAATACTATTGGAAGAATCCATCAGTATCCTTTAAAGGGTGTTATTTTCTTGCAAAAAGTTGCCATTTTTGAGAATCGTGAATTGGGGTTTAGGCCTTTACTAGCAGTGAGTAATGTAGCAGTTCATCAGAAGGGTAGTGCTGAAAACCAAGTTAATGATAAACCTAGGTATAAGTGGGTTAAGATAGGCTCTGATGTTACTGAGGAACAGCAAAGGGCTATCTTGAAGCTTCCACCAAAGATGATAAATAGATGTAAGGCATTAATGCAACAGATCATTTGCTATTCACCCGAAAAGGGTAGTGTGTCACTCTTGTTAGAGGCCTGGGTGAAGAGTATGAAGCCTGACAGAGCTGATTGGCTTGCGGTACTCAAAGAACTGGACAGGCTAAATCATCCAATGTATTTGGAGGTAATGTCACTTTCTTCCTCTACCACATAGTTCTTGACTTCACTAAAGTTTTGCTTGCTGCTGGCTTTTGTTCACATTCTTTATGAGTTTTGTTGCATCAAGTTTGCTGGATTAGTATTCTCTCGTCTCAGTCGTCTATCTACCATGGAAAATTGTTAATTACAACCACTACTTTGACCACTTTCTAACTCAAATGTAGATGAATTGTGCTTGAAAGTCACATTACCTTCATTAAATTTGATGGATGTGAACAGAAAAGGTTGAAATTTTTTCTACTTGCTATTTTCCTCCATCTTCACCTTTTCAACGCTCACCTGAAGACACATCACTCCAGGGTAGTCATTTGGGGCCAACGGCGAAACCAGAAATTTTGTTAACGGTGCTGAAGGTTTAATATATGTGTAAGCAATTTTTGACATGTATATACAATATAATTTTCCAATGAAGAGTGTTTAACTGACTCTATCTCTTCACTCTATGTGTTTATGCCACTGTTTGGAACCTTCTCCATAAAGTTGTGCTCACTGCTCAAAAATTGTTGATATGTCTCCTGTTACTAACTTGACGATGTGCTCTTTTCAACAACCTTCATAGGTGGTTCCAAGTCTAGTCTGCCAAATCATATGCATCTTTCCTTTTGTTCCATGTCTTCCATACCTTATCCATTGATACTAATTTGCTTGTTCTTTTGGTAGCCCATTAAATATCCCTTTCTTTGGGTTTAAGTCTATTCCCACGTTTTCTCTGTCCTTTCCCTCCTTTTGGAGTTTAGTTGGAGGTCTCACTATGGCAGCACATTAGGTTTGTCGTAATGCCTTGAAGTAGTAGTGACATCACTTTATGGTGGATAAACGTTTGTCCTACAGGAATTTGACACCATTTCTTGTCAAACAAAGTGTGTTTCCTCTTATTAAGCCTTTTGATTTGTGGATATTCTCCTTGAAATAGCTGGTACCATTGCATTAGTTTAATGTTAACTAGTGAGGATGCTGGATTCAAAATGGATGAATTTGTTTTCTTTGACAATTATCGTCCATTAGGTAGTAGATTAGTCATTAGAGATTTTATTTATTTACTTAACTTGGATAATTAAGTGTAGATTTGAGATCAATCCAATGTGAATGCTTGGGACCTTTCCTCTTCTGCCCATGGTTCCATTATTCAGATAACTGTTGTCCCTTTTTGTTCATCTCCTATTTATAGCGGAGTAGCTGCCAGAAGATAGTATGGATAAATAGGAAACATGTTGAACCCATCTAAGATCTAGTTAGAGCAATGGAATTCTGAGTCTAGTAGCCTATGACAATGAGAATGCTTGGGACCTTTCTTCTTCTGCTCATGGTTCCATTATACAGATTACTGTTGTCCCTTTTTGTTCATCTCCTAATTACTGCTGAATGAGCTTTTATACAAATGGCTGAACATTATCTACCGGAAGGTTATTTATTGCCTTTGAGGACTATTTTATTAAGTTGTGAAATAAGCTTTACTCGAATCCTTTTCTTAATTCCTAAAAGAATTAGCGACTTGACAATACCTATCAACAACTTCCATAATCCTTACAACTGGATAATGGTGCTGTTCTTGGCACATAAGGTCCTCTAGAATTGTGATGGTGAAAAAGAAGGATAACTCAGGCACATTTGTGGAACTTATAATTGGATTAAAAAGGCACCACTCCTTTCTAAGTTTGTAAATTTTCTTGAAAAGATAAAGGTGAGGGTATAATTTAGTCAACTCCAGCGCCATCTTTTAATCACTTGCAGCAAACTTAAGACAAATGACTATTATAGAGATGACACTTATGTTGGGATGAGGACACTGTAACATTCTTTACTTGTTAACTGAGAAATCCGTCTAGGGTCAATCCTTAGGACCAACCTCAGCCTTCGAAAGTCGTGTATAATGGGCCCCCCGCTCTGCCCTTCTTCACTCTACACCAGGCTTAGTTCACATGACACAGGGAAAGCTTGTGACCTAAGTCACAAGTCCCTCAACCTTTGCCACTTGAACTAAGCCCTGGAGGCCACTCTGTAACATTCTTGCTACCACTACTACTGCACTTCTAAGAGAAAAATAAGTTAAGTGCAACTGCAACATCATTGTAGTGAACATCCAAACAACTACCAGCAAAAAAGTCATAAGCAAGAAGTCCCTGTTGCTAAAAGTCTCGTATCCTTTATAGAGTGGGGAAGGAATGTAGAAGTGAAAAGATGGATAGGCTCAAGCAATCATTCCAGGTATAGGGTTGATCTTGAAAGGTGTTATGTACAGTAAAATATTCAGAATTTTGGGTGAAGGGTGATCTCTAGAGGACTGGCAATGACTTGATTTTCAGTCTTGTTTGCAAGTTTTCTGAACTATTTCAACCTTAAGTTGCACATAGGTTTTCTAATGGAGTCTATATATTCTTTGTGTTTTGCCTTGAGAAGAAGAAGAAGGGGATCAGTGTCATCTTGTAAGATTCAGCCCGAGAAAGTAATTCAGCTGAATCACTTTCTCATCTGCTTCTCAGTGCAGATGGCTTAATCATTGGAGTCTGTGTAATCCCCTCACATTCTGTTAGAGGAAGTGATCTACAGGAGAATCTCTTTACTTCTAGGTAGAGTGAATTCTGAAATCTGAGGGGACTGCTAAAGGCGTGATTTAAAGTCCCTCTTGTTTATAAGTTTACTGAACTGTTAGCTGAATGTTGCTGGTTGTGTTTGCTGTCTGGTGTGCATAGTTCCTATTTCTCTAGTAATCGTAAAAACTTCATGAAAGCGTATCATAAACAACATCATTAATTTTAATCTGGGGAGATGGTGGAGGTTTTGTTGGAGGGGGTGAACAGACCAGCAATCTAAGTACTAGCTTTTCAGATAAGAATTATGAATGCATCAAGCCAGATGCTTGCCATGTTAGTAGTTGGATCCTTTTCAATCAGGAAAGTAGAAGCATTAGAATACCATGAAGATCTTCTAGTTCATTAATGGTTTGTGAATATAGAATTATTTTTACAAAACTTTTTTTTAGATGGTATATGTTAATCTGAACCTTGCTATGTGCCTCTGAGATTGCTAGAACTGGTTATTATATGCCTTCCCTCTCAGGGGAGTCATTTGAACTTTGAAGCCAGTGTTTGACTATACCTAGAAAATTCATCGGTACAAAAAACTCAATCGCCTTTCCCTGTTCTTTTAAAGGGGGTAACAATTCTGATCTTTCAAATCCATCATGTGATAATAATTAAATCTGTGCATTGTTCTCTAGTAGTTCTAGTATTTTCTTAAAGAGCATTTGATTCTTCTTTTTCATTGTCATTTTTTAATAAATAGTTATCCATCTCCTTTTCATTATTAAACCCTTCAAGTGAATTTAGTTGTGGCCACTTTAGCCCCAATATTGTTGGAATCTAGGCAAAATCATTTGTTGAGTCACAATTTGATTAAGAACAATTGAAAACACATCCTTCTCTGATCCTAGTTCACTTAGAAAGCTAGGAATCAGGAACAGGGCTACAATTATTCTGAATTTTCTTGATATCAGTAAACTATGTGCTTACTAGTCTTTCCACTAAACTTTCAACAAGTTTTTTGAATGTTGACAAGGAAATCAGCCAATTTATCAATTCCTTGGTGCACTTTCTGTATCTCAGGTAGCTGAATTGTCCCTCTTAGCAGAATCATTTGAAGCCAATATTCGTGATTACACCAAGATAATTCATGGCTATGCAAAGCATAATCGGCTGAAAGAAGCTGAAAGTGTGTTCTTATCCATGAAGAGTAGAGGCTTCACATGTGATCAGGTGACAATGACAGCTTTAGTTCACATGTATAGCAAGGCTGGTAACCTTAAGCTGGCTGAAGATACTTTTGAAGAGATGAGGTTGCTTGGTGTACCATTGGATAAGAGGTCCTTTGGGTCAATAATCATGGCCTACGTCAGAGCTGGAAAGCTTGGTCAAGGAGAGGCTTTACTGAAGGAAATGGAAGAACAAGAGATCTATGCTGGACCAGAAGTTTATAAAGCACTTTTGAGAGCCTATTCGATGAGTGGCGATAGCAAAGGAGCTCAAAGGGTTTTTGACACAATTCAGTTAGCAGGAGTAATCCCTGATGCAACGATTTGTGGTCTGCTTATGAATGCCTATATTATGGCTGGTCAATTGAGTGAAGCTTGTATTACATTTGAGAATATGAGAATAGTTGGCATAGAGCCAAATGACAAGTGTATCACATTGCTATTGACAGCTTATGAAACAGAAAACAAACTGAGCAAGGCACTTGATGTTTTGATGGATTTAGAGAGGGATGGTGTTGTGCTTGGTAGAGAAGCTTCTGAATTATTGGCTCGTTGGTTCAAGAGACTTGGGGTAGTTGGAGAAGTGGAGCTTGTTCTGAGAGATTACGCATCAAACTGCGCATTACTAAACTGATGTTTTTTGCTTTAGCCAGGAGTTTCTCTCCGTTGTATCTATTTGAGAGAGTCTTGGTTTCCTATCTGCAGGTATGTAAACTTTTCACTAAAGGAACTGGTTTGCTAAAACCTGTCTTCAGTAACTGTTGCTTATTCCCATGTCGCAATAAGAGAAAAAGGGGGTTGAAAAACAAAGAAAACTGGAAACAAGAGCTTCCCTTTTTTCAATCTGACTTGGTGAATATACTTGTAAATATGTGTGTGCGCACATATATTCAAGCACAAGATAGTCTCATGCACCAACACATATGTCAAGCTTTTTGAGCCTAGTGGTTTAGTTAAGAGTTTTGGTTCTGGTTTAAGCATCTTCATCAAGCTTGCTGTACGTCGATACAACATACTGCCCAGGAAAGTATAACAACTCACTGCTGCTTGTATCAACAAAACACGCAGAGGTATGTTTTTTCATATTTCTGGTAAGAGGTTGAAGGCTTAACAAAGTTAAGAGGAGAGCTCTTTATGTTCTTCGGGATGTACTCAAATGTGAAACCATTTCCTGTAGTATTTCAATTACTTCGGTTCATTATAAGTTGCAACTCTTTATTTTTTTGTTGTTGAACCTTAAAAACGAAAAAAAACATGGTTAGTGAGGATTCATATTGTTGAACCCTCTTGAGATTGAGTGAAAATACAAGTGTTTGAACCTCACTTGTTAAGATAGGTGTAGCCTTCTTGAGAACTAATCATACTTTTATCTCAATAATCGATATAATATCAATCAGAAAACCAGATTGTTGTTTAAGTTGATGGATACAATTGGTAGCTCTCATTACTCAAATGAGCTAATTTCGAATAAACAATCCCATTAATTAGAAGGTGTACCAAAACCAAGATTAGGGAGGATAAAATTATCTCGACAAATCCAAATCACAATCTTTAGGCTGTGTTCCGTCCATTTTTTTCATGTTAGGTTGAGAAAATAAGTTTCTTAGAGGAAAACGACGTCCCTTGTAGAGGTGGGAAAAACAAGTGATATTTTACATTGATGGTATCTTCCCACCTCCCATTTAGATTATATTATAATACTTTTTATTTATGTACCGAACACAAAAAAATAAATAAGAAATTATTTTTTTACAAAACATTGTCCTTCCTACCACACACCCTTAGATTGCAACAAATTATAATCACCCATTATTCTGGATAATAAAAATTACTAAAGAAAAGGAAGAAAAATGACGTTAGTAAATAAATCATAGTCCTAGGCCAACACTCTTTGATTGATTTTATTGGTTTCCCACCCGGTATTCGGAGCCTGCATTGAAGTCCCGACTAAATTTGAAGACCTCTAATTAAGGATGAAGTAGTTCAACCACTGCCACCACAACCCATATTGGTACTGTTTGAGTGATTGCTTGTACTTGAAACAAGAATAATATATAAAAGCTAAAAAAGGGGGTTGAAGAGTGTATATGTGGTGTATCCTTTTTGAGACGTAAAAGATTCAAACTACTCCTTAATCTGTAACCTAAGAATGATTTAATTCGTTAATGATTACCCAAAACTGGAAAAAAAAATCTATTTGTTAATCTCAAATGCCTTTTCTTATTGTTTTGTTTTGTGTGTGGTTTACTTCAATAGTAATTTGGTTCATTTATATTCACTCTGATGACTAAGAGTCAATATATAAATACAACTTTTAGTCTAAATTAACTGGAAAAAAAATAGAGAAATCTAACAAGGAAACAAAATAAAGTAAATCAAAATCTTATATGAGTGTACGTCTTATTCAATTTACACCAATATATAACTCACGCTAACAAAACTTGTTACTTATAAATGACTTCTTGGATTTAAAAAAGACAAATCAATTCATTGCGTATATAGTAACTCATAGTTATAAAAACATGAATAAATTAAAGTATCAACATATCCAATTAGACAAGAAATAAAGATTCAACACCCAATCCAAAAAAAGAAAGACCTTTGGAGGATATTTGAAGTCTCCTTTTATAATGGAATGGAGCTTAAAATAAAAAAATAGTGTCGTAACTTCAGATCGAAAAAGTAAAACACAAATGGCAAGCTTATAAGCAAAATCTTTTTTCTATCCTCCCTAGATAGAAAATCGAAATTTTAGTCTATCTCGAAGTGAGTGAATTTGCAGGCAAAGACACATGAACCTTACAAGGAGCTAACTTAAATTTAGTCCATAGTCGTCATTCAGAACCTAGCTGGTTCAATTATCTAAGAAGTCAATAATTAAATTGAGAAATAAACTTGAGATTTTTCAAGATAATATTCAAGCAAGAATGTAATCAAAATTCGATATCACCACACACAAGGGAGCAATTAAAAATAAGCATTATAGATCTATAACTAATATTGAATCTAATTAGTATTAACCAAAAAAAAAAGTAGTACAACAAACAAAAAAGAAGGATCAAGAAAATTACAAATAGGGTAAAATTAAAGATTTTTTCATGACTTTGCCTAGGTATTTTTTTTTTGATTAATTAAAATTGAAAACCCTCATTTTTCTTAATTTTTTTTAAAAAATATCTCATGAGTACCACTAATATTTAACATATTATAAGTCAGTACTTTTCAATAAAATGTGTCCTTGATCTCACTTGGTCTGTGGTGGCAAAGCTGATGATTCTGTGCATGGCACTGTTACTGATCCATGTCTATGCAGAAGTTCACGTGCCAATTCTTGAAGATCGCCGCCCCCGCCTCCGGTGGGTGACATGTCCACCGGAGCTCTAGCGCCACCAAAGTGGCGCGGGTCTAGAGGCAGAGGGGGCGGCGGTCGTGGCTGCTGCATTGCCCATGAGGGTTGAACCATTGGGTCAAAAAGTGATGATAAATCATAGGCAGCTGGCAAAGAAGGTCCTGCTGTTGGCAAATCTGCTATGGTGAGTGGTGGCTGTTGGAGCATTGTTTGTGGTTGTTGTGGCGGCGGGGGCAGTGGCGGCGGTGTTGGAAGCTCCAGGGTTGCTAGGTGGGCTTGTAAGTATGAGAGTTCTGCTTGTAAATTCACTACCTGAGTCACATAAATATGGTATTATGTGATGGAAAATTTGATGATAGTCTAAATTAATACTCCCTCCCTTCTAACACAGCATTTAAGAAATACGAGAAGACTTTGTAATGTTTCAAAAAGAGTATGACTTTTTGTCCAATAAAGAAATGTTTCAAAAAGAGTATGACTTTTTGTCCAATAAAGAAATGTTTCATTCTTTTTTAAACTGATTAAACAAGAAAGTGAGTCATATAAATTGAGACAGAAGTACTAGCTATAGCTTATGTAACTATACACCCACGCCCCAAATCCCCTCCCAAAAAGAAAATTAAAGCATCTACTCATTAAAGGTAATGGGACATGAGTTTAAAACTGAATTAAATCGAAATACAAAAATGTGACATTCTTTTTAGAATAGAGTAAGAAGGAGAGAGAGTCATGATATATAACATACCATACCTGGAAAATACTTTCTTACATGATGTGTGAACTCTCACAAAGAGTGGGGATTTAATTAAATAAAAAAAAATTGCTTTAGGTAGCCAAATCAAAAGAAAAGGTACTGCATACTATATAGTCTAAGTAACCATTTTGTAATCATGGAGATGATATAAAAAACTAATTATTTATTTGAATTATTAAGTTCGTAAAGTTATCAAAGCATTCAAAATATATGTTAAAAGGAAAAGAAAATACTGTACAAGAAGTTACATAAAAAATCCAGAAAATGAAATCTGGATCCGCATAAACTCTTTTGATAAATATAGTTCTGGTCAGTGGTTGGAGGCGATTTCGGATGTAGGATAATAATTGAGTTCATAATTAAATATTTTAAATATTTAAATCAAAGTTTAGAATTTAATATAAAATATGAGAAATATTAATGAATTCACATTAACTATACACAGGTTACAAGCCAGATCAAAATGCACACAAAGTAAGCTGAGGGATTATAAGTAATTTGTTGCTATACGATTGCCAAAATTAATCAGGATGTCAAAATTAGCTCATAAAATCATGACCCATTCAGTTTGTATATGTTTGTGCGGGTTAATAACTTTTAATTTTACTAACTAGGCTCATTTTGATCAGCTTAGTTCAACTCATTTTAGAACTGAATCAATTCAAATTGACCCAAAAGAAATTTTATCTAAATATTTTTAAGTATTTTTTTATTTGATATGTTATTTTCTATAATCATACTATAATATTAGGTACTCAAATAAATATAAGAAAATAAACTTTAAATTTAAAACTTAATAAGAATTAATCAGGTTGAGTTATGACTCAGTTTTTAACTCATTTCAATCCAACCTACTTCATCCCCGATAACATTTAAGCAAGTCAATGAGCCGTTTATTTATTAAGTTAACTCATTTTGATATTTTTAAATTCAACTCAAACCGCCTATTTACCCTCCAAAATTTAACCATTAAAGGGCGTGCTTGGTTCTAAAGGATCCATATTTACTTCACATTTTTCATACTGATGCCATTTCTCTAAACCACCAGTAGTTAATGATACACTTCAATTTAAATTATACTCTTCTTTTCAATCTCATAAATTTAAAGATTATAATATAAAACATTAATATGAATAGAATAGTTAAAATCCCTCATAAATTTAAAGATTATAAAGTGTTAATAAGAATAAAATAGTTAAATTCATCATAAATTTTAAAAATAGGTAAGAATATCATTTTTTCTCAATTCATAATTCAATATAGATAAATATATACCCGAAAGAAACACCGCAAATAACTTGGGAAGGAGAATACTTATAAATTTATAAATTTTACGTAATTCAAACTTCAAAGCAAGGACTTGGGGATCGGTGCATTACTGACAAATTCAAGGGAATAGAAATTGATTTAGGTTCTTTCTAAAAGCATAAAAGTCATTTAAGCAAGAAATTATTCCCTCTTCCCAATACTCCAAATCATAAAATTAGAAGAAAGAAATGATTTAAATGTATAAACTTTCAAAGTCAACCAGCAGACACGGAGACAATAATCTTATTA